GAGACCTCCTCTGACAAAAAAAGACTCTCCCCACCACAGAAATAACCCAGGAGCACGCCTGAGTTTGTGCCTGAGTGTGCACAGGAGTAAATGGGGAATTGCACTGGGGCCGCAGGGTTTGGGGTTTCGTGACATAACTGCCCAGAACCAACCTGGCCTTTCGGTTCCCCACGCTTGCATCGTGCCTCTCAAGAGCCAACGCTCCAGATCTTTTTCTTCCCCCACCACAGGTAAGCCAGAGTTTAAAACTGTTCACTGTACCTTACCATGTGCAGACAAGAGTCTATGTACTCCTGCAGTGTTCTGCACTGCTTTGGGCAGGTATACCTGCTGTCAGCAATTTGACCACGCACAGGAGGTGTGAGCTCTAAAGTGGCTGAGTGGTCTATTCCCGGCCATCCTGGCTTTAAGATATCCCCCCACCTTTTACACTGTATGGGATGTGCGCCAAAAACAGTCAGATGTTAAAATACAATTGCACTGCTCCTCGGGACTACCTTAAAACTCCTCAGTGCGTTTCATTTAAGATCTAAAAACTCGGACTCTCCAGAGCAAGTACAGCATTACTGAATTTGCCACACTGCTTCACTGAAGGCAGCAAACGTGATCCAGAGAGTGTGGTGTGTTGCTGCCACATATTGCAGGAGTCTGGAGCACAACGTCACTGATTGTGGCTATACAAAGAAACATGGTCCAAGGGGAACCGTTAACTAGACCACGATCAAGCATGCTTGAGAGGGTTCGTCTTCAAGCATAAGCCGAATTTCTCCTATATTCACGGAAATTTAAGGACTGTGCAACTTCTAGTAAGAAGCTAGCACCTTCTGAAAGCAGTATGCTGGTAAAATTACTTGATTTTGCTTTAAATATTGCAAGGTAAAACCTGATTTAACTACTTTGCATGGTGATTGTTATGTTTTGCTTTAATCAAAAAAGCAAAGGAAAAAGTAAAAGGGGTTCCCCCCATAATCAGTAACCTTAAAGACACAGTGAAGAAGGATTTTTAGATTCTTAACAGCACTACCACAATAACTACTGATGTCCAACTACTTTACATGTGCAATATTATTCTTTATTATAATAATACACAATAAATTATTATATTATCATTATTAATAAAGGGTATCCTGATCCTTATCTTACAGGAAACAAAATGAATGTTGTACAGAACACAATCTATTATTCCCCATCTGCTTTTATAACTTCTATTAGGTAAAGACTTGCAGGGCACTGAGTATGTATGTTAAATGGAGAAATAAAAAAGGACTTACCCGGAACTCTCTGGATGCACTGTCTGAGGGAACAGAACCTGAAATCTGACTAGAAATTGTAGCAGCAATAAGTTGCTTACACCATTCAACATGGGATCCTGTGGGACTACAAGAACAGAACATAACAGTTTGTTTAGCAAAAGATACTCATTTGTTTTCTTTGTAGATTCTGCATGACAATCTTCCACATCATGACTGTGAGGATCAGGAACATGCATCATACTTGCGTGTGTCCCCTTTTCCTCTCTGATTGTACACAGATGAATGCCTCAATTTCCTGGTTTCCATTCAAGTGATGTCCAAACAGGGCAAACTATCACCTGGTTTGCATGTAAAAACAGCCTCAAACATGGGCTGTTCAACCCTGGGTTTTTATGTCCGAACACAGGACTATGGATTGTTAAATGGTTTGTTGTTCGGTTCTAAAGTCAGAGTTGTTTTAATTATGTTGCTATGTGTGAACCTGTAACCTTAGTTTGACCATGGGTGGTGGTGGTTAGGCTACGGAGAGAGCGGGGGACAAGTCATAAAAATAAAATGGCTGCTGCACATGCCAGTACAACCACACTGTACAGGCATTTTGGACACAGGGAGGGAATGGTGAGGAAGGGTACTGAACCACCCAGGAATTGAAAACACAACTTGTTCTTTGTGCAGTCATCCAACAGACCAACCCGAGCAAGAACCCATCCTCTGGATTTTCACTTCATAAATATCATGCCTGTAATTTGCATCTGCAAACCATGCTCTCAGGTTACACTTTGAAAATTAGTGCTAACTATAGTTTGCTTGATAGTTGAGATCACAGCAAAACATATGTCAAATCAGTGCCTAGATGAGATAAGAAGTCATCCCACTTCTTTCCAAGCAGTTCTCCAAGTATCTCACTGTTCTTCAACTGACGTGATCGTGTCCGACCGTATTTGAAATTTAACCGTCCTATTTCCTTTCTTTTCCCACTTTGGGCATTCATCATAATCCAGAAAAGGCACCAAGGATTTGGTATGAGAGAGGGATGGATGCATGTGACCCCTGCAGTGCATTCTAAAAGCTCCAAGCCATGGCTTGAAATAACAATGAAACTGAGCCAGTTTGTCTGACTGACAAAAGCCAAAAAGGTTGTTACTAGATATTACAAGAATTCTCGCTGGGATTGGATCTATTTAACAGATAATGATAGTTTATGAAACAAAGGTTTTGTACCAAATATTTAAATATTTATGCCAAAATAGTAAACTTATCTGTCTTTGGCAGGCCTACCAATTTTTAAACAAGAATGGTTATTTTCATTTGCAAATCAAAATAAATATTCCAAGATTATTCCAAGATTCGGAATATAAAATGTATACTTGTTGAAAATATTATGCCAGAGAATTAGCGGCACAACTGGCAAGTCTTTACTACAACTTGGTGCTAAATCTATAATAAATCTAAATGTAACCGCTTGGCGGGAGGATCAGGTTGCGTAATAAAATACAGCAATAAAAGCTGCCCATCCTAAATTAACTGATCCATTAAACTTCGTATCAAAGGGGAGGATCCTGAATTAGGAAGATAACATGCAACAACAAGAAGAGTTATCAGGTAGTCTCTGATTTCTGGCAACCCTCTGCATGGAAGCCCTCCAAAATATCCTGCCCTTGACAGCCCTGCTCAGCTCTTGTCAACTGGAGACGACAGCTTCCTTGATACAATCGATCTCTCTCACTTTTGGACTTCCTCTTCCGCCTGCGTCTTCACCAGTGAGTCTTGCCTTCTCAAGAAGTGCCCAAAGTACAGCTGCTTCAGTCCCACCATTTTTCCTTCCAGGGACCCTTCTGGTTCGATATGATCTAGGACCCACATGTTCATCCACCTGTCAGTCCAGGATATTTGCAAAGCTCTCCTCCAGCACTAATTTTCAAATGCACCATTTTTCCCCGTCTGCTTTCTTCACAGCTTTCACACCTAGACCTAGTGATCAGGAATACAATAGTGTAGTTGATCTTAGCCTTGGTCTCCAGTAAAACGTCCTAACACTTGATGATTTTTCCTAGTTCCTTCAATGCAGCCCTTCCAAGTCTCAGTCTCCTGCGCATTTCTTGGCAGCAGTCTGCCTTTGAATTGATTATTGAGCCAAAGTACGTAAGATCTTTCACAATTTCAGTTTCTTCTGTTGATATTATAGTTCTGTAATTCTTCTGTAATGATGATTTTTAAAATTTCAGTACAGTTCTGTTTTTGCAATTTCTTCTTTCGCTTTCTTCCAAAGTCATTTCAATTCATATGATAACTCCAGCTTATTTTAATAAAAGCTGCCACTAGGTGTTGGAAGGCACAGCAAAAATACAGATACTGTGTATTATAAATAATGTTTAAAAAGGAAAGATGAAAGGCTTAGCTTTCAAAGGCAGACTGGCCAATATCAAACGAAAATTCTTCCTTGAAAGGCTTTGAATAAACATGTTTAATACACGGATGAAGGATGCTAACAATTATACCAGCACAACATGCTAATGTTGTACGGTTTTAATAATGAAGTCCTACATGCTGAAGCAAAAGTTCAGGATCAAAGGAACCAAATTCCTAATTATTTTTGAATGAGGAAAACTTGAATAGTCCAATCCATATGAATTTCAATATGAATTGGCCTTATCTTCACTACCTGGCCTAATCTGGGGAGTAGAACTTAATTTTCTATCATATCTTGTACACTGCATGTTATGACACAGTTCTCAGCATCAGAAAAGAGTAGAGCTGGAAGGGGCCTATAAGGCCATTGTGCCCAATTTCCTGCTCTAGGTTAAAGCATCGCTGACAGATGGCTGTCAGGCTGCTTGAATGTCTCCAGTGTGGGAGAACCCCACAGCCTCCCTAGGTCAGTGGTTCCATGGCCCAACTGCTCAAGCAGTCAGGAAGTTCTTCCTGATGTCCATCCAGAACCTGGCTTCCTGTAACTTGAGCCTATTATTCTGTGTCTTGTGCTTTGGGATGACTGAGAACTGTGAGATTTTGATGCAAAACAAACAAACAAAACCCTATTAAAATCCTAAATGCTATCTTGATAGGAAAAATTTAAAAATACACCTTTAAATATATACTTCATAAACATTTTGAAAAAAAATGTAGAGACTGATGAGTAATTGGAATAGAATGGACTTACAAGTGAACACTTGTAAAAATGGCAAAAACCCCAAATAAATTGATTTGTCCATTCATATTTTTAAATAGACTGTCCCATCTTACTTTAAAATGGGTCTTATCTTCTGACTTGAACTATTGGATGAGAAAAAGAGTCTTCAACAGATGAAGCATTAATTCTTGAAAATCTACAACTGGAAATTCACAAAAAAATAGCTTACAGACCAATATGGTATTTAAGAACAGTAAGTCTCGGAATTTAAACTGGATGACCTACTAAGTATTCTCAAGTGTTAGCAGGAGGCTTTTTCTTGAGGAATGTCTAAACTCTCCAGAAAAACATGAAAGCTATTTCCTGAATCAGCCAGAGAGGTCTGGCATCAAAATCTAAGAAAAGTGCCAGATTCTGGAAGGCGAAATGGGAACTTGAGCCACACTGCAATCAATAACAAACAGTGAAATCTTTAAAGAGATGCAGGAAGAGACAAACAAGATGTTTTCAACAGTATATTATCTATGGAATATGAACTACCCTCACCAGCTTTGCAAATACCCTGGGTGAACAGAAAGATTTGCTAAAGTGGGTCATACAATCAATCAGGTCAGGACTTTCTCCAGAAGCAAAAATGTCAAAACTGAGGCTGTCGTACTTTGGGCACATCATATGAATGCAAGACTCATGGGAGAGGACAATCGTGAACGTCAAAGTCAGAAGAAGAAAGGGAAGACCAAATAAGAGATGGACTGACTCCACAAAGGAAGCCACAGCCTTAAATTTAGAACAGCTAAGCAGGGATGTCATAGATGGGACATTCTAGAGGACTTTCATTCCTAGGGTCACCATAAGTTGGAGATGACTTGCAGGCACACAGCAACAGTGAAAAGAGGAGAAGAGATCTAATCTGATGCTGAGTGTCACGGTAGTTCTGACCTCCACTCACCTGTGAGTGAAATTCACTGGGGGGGTTTTAGCCCAGTCACACACACTCAGTAGGGTGGCCAGCTGCAAATAACACTGGGCCCCTGTACCTCTCGCAGTTGTACAGAAGGGTGATTTTCAGTCATTTGTTCTTCCCTCTTCCACACAACTGTTAAGGATGCAGAAGCCCAAATCTTTTTACAGCTGGCCACCATCTTTCTCAGCCAAATCCAACTCAAAAAGGTATTGTGAGAATAAGAATACTGGGGCCAGAACCATGGAAGCCACCTCGAAGGAAAAGTGGGCTGCAACTGCAATAACAGTTAGTAGAAGAACATATTACGGGAGGGTCAAAAGCACAATTTTAAGTTATGTAAGTCTATCAGCTGGCACCAGTTAACAAGTAAGATTACAGGCATCCTTTAACTCCCGTTTAGGTATGTCCCTTCTACTTTGTTCCTGCATCATCCTAATATTACTTTAAACTCATTTCCGAGTGCTAGTGCTGTGTGTTTTTAATGCTTAAACTGTTTATAACATTTATGAAACAACACCAAAACTAGTATTCAAACTGCTTTTCAGTCATAATTTTTGTCTACTGAATTATTTCAATGATTTGATGACTGCATTATTTCAATAATCATTTCATTACTGAAAAGATTGAAAGCAGCAGGAGAACAATGTAAGCAACTTTGAGTGCCTTAAAAAGGAAAAAAGTGGTATATAAATCAAATAAATAATCTCATAATCTTGTAAGTACCTTGGATGGTTAGTGCTATGCTCCCAACACCGTAACTCTCAAAGGCCACCAAGTAGGTTCATTATGAAAGGCAATGTCTGGGGCATGAGCTCAGTCTGCAATAACTGGGTTTTACCAGTTGGTATCATATGCCATTAATACGTTGATACTCAGTGGCACCTGATACATGCGTTAAGCAAGAGGCCAAGAATTCAAGCACAATGAATTCCCCTCCAGACAAATGAGCAGACTTGCACAAGAGAGACAAAGCAGTCTGTCCTCCCCTTCACCATGTCACACAGTTTCTGTACCTGCTGAGGAAGAAATGCACACTTTCCCCCATGGCCAGGAGAAAGACTGTGTGGGCTGCAAAAGAACACAGTACTCTGTTTCTCTTTTGCTCATCCGCTGTGCTTCTAGCCTGCTTTTTATTACTACTCTGATTTGCCTTTGAATCAAATGCACGATAGCAAACTGTAACCTTTGGGAGCTTAGTAACACACCTGTTGCAAGTCTTAGTAAGCTGTTTGTATTAGTGTGAATGTGGATCTCATATTTGGGACTGTTCTGTGGAACACCAGCCACCTGGCAGAGCAAAACCTTTCTGCAGAGTAATATTACACACAGCACAATCGCATCTGCATATTCTCCTACACAACACACCATTAAACATTGCCTTTTAGCCTTGCCATCATTATAATTAACAACCGGGGCTACATGATGCGCTTTCACAAACATACAGTTGCAGCAGGAAACTGGCCAGCACAGGCCCCATCCGCAACTTTAACGCTTGTACGCCTCTCTCTCTCTCAAATGCACAGGGTAGATATGCATCATGCACACATCCCTCAGAAACTGGGGCATGGAGAGGCAGCACTGAAAGGAAGGGCAGCTGCTCAGGGGCAGCACTTCAACAGGAGGAAGCGCTTCCAGGTGAGCTCAGGCTCACCTACTTTGCCTCTTTGCATCCTAAGCATACTCTCCTAAGTATGCACAGCACATTCACGCGACATGATGGGCCCAGGTGTCCAACAGAGGCATCCCCCATTCATACGGGCACTGCTGAGCCTGCCCGCCTGCCTGACACATCCCCGGGGTGACTAGCAGGGGCGGGGAGCGCAGGTGCCCTCCAGGTGCCGGGGCCTGTCAATCCCATCGCCTCTCATCACTGGCTGTGCCTGATGGGAGCTGCAGTCCCACAACACCTGGCGGGGAAGAGACACGCGTTCCCCCGCCCTGGGCATAACGAAGGCAGGCTCCCAGAAGCGGGGGACGCCGAGCCCCGCCACCCCAGCACCGGGGAGCGGTGTGGGCGGAAGCCTCGGCGGGCGCCGCTCAGGGTGGGCGAAGGGGCCACGCGGCGTGGGGGGCGCCCGGGCGGCTCTCCGGCCCCCGCCCGGCCCTCACCTGTCCAGCGCTTCCACGCTCGGCTGCCGCGACCCGGCGGCGCTCGTCCCGCCACCCGCGCCGGAGCCCGCCGCCGCCGCCGCCGCCGAGGCCAGGCGGGTGGGTCTGCGCAGCGAGCCGGCGCCG